GCTACGCCTTATCGGTCCGATAGTTGCTCAGGCAACTGCCTGTAGATAGATAGCTACGTAGCTTAGGAGCTTAGCTCTCTATTAACTACAACCTCTTGTATACCAAGCGATTGCTCCCCGAAGCGCAGCCCCTTACAGTCTAGGGTTAATCGGCTTCACACCCCTGTCGTAGCATGATATATACAAGATTTCTACATATTAGAGAGATAAAACTATAGAAATATAAGAGTAGAAGATATCCCTATATTCATTTAAAGTCTTGTCTTTGAAAAAGTTGTGTTCCAGACTTGTCTAAGTTATAGCTATGATTCTGTTCTATTCGCTTATAACTTTAGTCTGCTTACGTAGATAGCGCACCTATTTATACTAGGTTGGATTAGGTCAAAGTGTGGCGCTCAGTTCTTGAAGCATCCATCTAATCACGTGCTGATCTATTTCTGTCATTAGAGCGCGTTCCTTTGTCTTCCGAGCAGCCTGGTAGGGAGGGTGATGTCTGTCATGGTGGCCTCAGTGGCAGTATTCACAACACCACGATCGTAGACATGGCCCAATCAAGGTAAATGTTAACACAAGCTATTTCGTGTGATCCACCAACAGCTTGGACTTCCCCATTACAGGATGATGCTATTCCGTACCATACTCGGTACTACCGCAGGCGCGGACGACCCTCTATGAAGGAGAAGGCCCAAGGCCAGCAGTATCTTACCCTAGATGAAGAGAAAGCCCTTATCAAGTATCTTTTGCTAATGTCTGAACTTAGACAGCCCGTCCAAATCAAGTATATACCCTCGCTAGCCTTTAGCCTCACACGCCGACGGACGACGACGACCAGCAAGCCCATCAAGCTCCCAGGCAAGAACTAGGCTCGGTCCTTTAAGAAACGCAACCCTAGATTAAAAGGGAGGAAAGTGAAGGTAATAGACTGGAAATGGCATGAACGGAATATCTATACTAAGGTTACATACTAGTTTAAGGTAATTAAAGGAGTTCTATAGGACCCGAGGGTACGGCCTAAGAATGTATATAATATGGACGAGACGGGCGTCATGCTAAACATGCTTGGCTTGGTTAAAGTCCTAGTAGGTAAGGATGACCTCCGTGACTATAGAGGAGCAGGCGTCAAGCGCACCTAGGTAACTGCTATTGAGTGCATCAGTGCTGATGGCAGGTCACTGCTGCTACTCATTATCTGGCCAGCTTCGACCTATAGGAGTAACTGGGCTACTTTTCTAACCCCTAGCTGGCATTATGGGCACTCGGAGAATGGATATAATGACTCGAAGATTAGCCTAGAGTGGCTTACCCGTGTATTCGATCCTCAAATAAGTGAACGAGCTAATAGAAAGCCTCAGGTCCTAATCTGCGATAGCTTTGGAACGCACGAGACCCTAGAAATCCTAGAGTTTTGCTTCGCTAATAATATTACTATGTGCCGCCTGCCGTCTCATACCTTACATAAACTACAGCCCTGCGATGTTAGAGTCTTCGGCCCTCTTAAGACAGCCTATCGTGACGAGGTAGAACGGCTCTGTCGGGGAGGACTAGAAGCTGTTAGTAAGGAGCACTTCACTTCTGTATATAAGCCTGCTAGGGAAACAGCGATTACTAGGAGGAATATCACCGCCGTATGGGCCGCAAGTGGTTTGTTCCTATTCAACCCAGAGAGAGTTCTGCGAAAGATGCCAAAACCGCCCTCTAAGATAGCTGTTTTAGACGTGCTTGCTTGTACATAAGACTAACAAGTAGTGCAAGTACCTGAAACTCCTGTAACACTAGTAACAACGGAGGCTGTAATGTCTTTGTATAACTTAATTAAATAGGATGCGCATATACTAGACGAGTGGAGTAAATAACGCCTATAGAAGTACGTATAGAAGCTCGCGAGTGCAGCATAGATATCTCTTACAAAGTAGACGCTTCTCTAAGATTAAAATAAGTTTTTGACGAAGGTTAATAAGAAGGCTCAAGTTTAGCGATTGACCAGGTCTATTGTCTTAGGGAAAGCGAAGGTGATGAGCTTCGAGGACCTTGAAGAGGCACGAGCCAAGCGTGCTGAGAAAGAGGAGAAAGCGTCAGCTGCGAAGGTTCCTAAGAAACGGGGGCGTAAGCCTAAGAGCTCTGCCAAAGTACCTGCAAAAGGAATGGGAAAAGTAGCAGGTGCGAATCTGCAAAGAAAAGGTGAAGAGACTGACGCTCCAGTGCGAGCTGACAACATGCCTGGGCTGCGTCAGCTAGAGATAGGACTGTTATGGAAGGCACCTGTTGCAAAAATGTATTAACGTGCATCCCTGCGTAACGGATCCGCAGCGGGTAGAGCGGGATTGATCACGTGTCGGATCATCAGATTGCCGTCTGTGCTGCGCATGGGCTTCGCCCGCTGAAACCTGCATAGCTTTAAACTGGGTGGCGTTCAGCTAGTTAGCCGTGCCGCTTACGCAGCCTCAGCTGAATCGTAGTTGTCACCAACATAGCAGGGCTTCGACGTCGCCTCACGCGGGCTCATCTAAATGATCTCATGAGCCAGATCATAGATAAATACTATAAATATAGTATAGCCTTACAATGATTAGTCGTCTAACGACCTCGAGATGATTACAGTATGTTATATTGTGTTAGGGAGTCAAGGTAAAAGGAAATCTGGCTACAACACGACTTCCTTATGAATTAGCTGCTATGTCCCATGAAAGTCGAAAGGAATTTTCCATCTATATTCCCATACACTGCTCTCGCCTTATTGTTGGCCTCGTTACCATCGTAGCTATGGCTTTTGCTGTGCTCTCCTAGTTGTCCAACATCGCCATAGATTGCCTTTGCCTCGCCTAGAAGTTTATTATTTTTGAAAGAATGACCGGTTATCTGGGTTGCACTATCCGCTGCTGCTTGGTACAGGGAAAGGCACTGTATAAGAGCTGCCTTCTGCTGTTCCTCAACCGCTTTCTTTTGAGCAATAATCTGCAGGTCTTCCTCGCTCTCCGGTTCCAACGCGAGCAGCTTATCTAGCCTTGTATTGACTTGTTCAAGACTAACCGTGATTTGGTCTTTGGCAGTCGTCATTTTGTTTTCGAGCGCGTTGAGGGCATTCTTATCAGAATGTGGGGTCGCACTAGGTGGTTGTCAATCATTCCCCTTCCGCTGTCCAGGGTTTCTTACAGTAAAGCTACGTCGAGTGCAAGAGCAAGACTCGTCTTCCAACTATTGACCTTCGTATGAAAATCATCAATGCTTTTGCTCTGAAACTTTAGCTTGACTCCATCCCTAAAGCTTCTCTTTCCATCTTGGGAGTGTATTGTAAGGTCATGCACTTTATCTTTAAAAGCCCTGCACGCGAGATCGCAGCCCTGTAGAGTTTGTTCCATGGCTGTGAAGCATGCTAGCTGTGCTTCATCCTTTGTTGCACCACGATCGGGCAGGTTTGTTTTCAACGCATTCAAGATATGACTGAGAGTACTGATGTCTTGATTTAGGTCGTGGAACACCGAGGGCGCATCGCGGATCGTCGAGATCAACTCATACAGCACTTTACTGCTGGAATAGGCGAGGCCGGCGACTGCGACTACGCTCGCAGTGATACTTAGAGGGTCCGTCATGGCTATTGAGGCAAGTAGAAGGGTGGAGACTTCTGTAGTAGGCTGCGGCTGATGAAGGACAGCATGTTGGACTGGCTGGTCGCCTGAAGACTTGGCCAGACCTCAGCCTTGCTGCAGACGCCTGCAAATTCAGCAGCAACACCCTCTCGTCTTTCATACAACACTGCGCTTCATGAGTGCACTGTGTCATCGGACACCCTGCCGGGCGCTCAGGTCGACAGCTGCCTCACTCGGGAACAGCACGGTCTTTTCAGATCAGTCTTACGAAGATCGCCCCAGCCAGTGCGCCGCTAGGCGACAGCTTACGTTGACATGGCGGCGATGCAGCCCACGGCAAGCCCCGCCGTGTACACCAACAACCAAGCACACGGTGGAAACAACATCTACGGTAATGTCTACGGTGGCGTGCAATTTTCCAGCAGCGACAGCAGTGCTGCGAGATCGACCGACCACCAGTGCCTGCGCGACCTGCGAGTCACCGACCCGCGCGAAGAGCGAACGAGGATCGAAGGTGACAAGGACAAGCTGCTCAGGGATTGCTATGCATGGATCCTAGACGATAGCAACTTCCAGCAATGGAGGAGGCAGGGGGGCCCTCGGCTGCTGTGGATCAGAGGCGACCCGGGCAAAGGCAAGACGATGATGACCATGGGCCTCATCGCCGAGCTATCGCAAAGCTACAAGACCAGGTCACCATCAAGGACAGTATCAAAGGTGTTGTACAAACTGAAGCTAGGGTCCGGGCCATGCCTGGTGGCCTACTTCTTCTGCCAGAACACCCACCCCGATCTCAACAACGCAGTCTCGGTGTTGAGAGGACTTATATACATGCTCGTCGATCAGCAGATGCAGCTGATGCGACATGTCCAGAAGCGATACGAGGCTGCAGGAAAGCAGCTTTTTGAAGGAGCTAACGCCATGTATGCGCTGAGAGAGATACTGTCGGACATACTCAATGACCCGACTCTGCCAACGACATACTTGCTAGTTGACGCACTCGACGAGTGCGACTCTGGTCTGCCTACTCTTCTTCAAATCATCACTGATAGCAACCTTGCGCGGCGGTCGAAGGTGAAGTGGCTAGTGACAAGCCGCAACGTGCAGGGGATTGAGCGGTATTTGCAGCCAGACTCGGCTGGCATCAAGGTCAGTCTTGAGGTTTGCGCAAGCCACGTGTCGAAGGCTGTGACGGCGTTTGTCAACTTCAAGGTGCAGCACCTGGCAACTACAAATAAGTATGACGCTGGACTACAAGCAGAGGTGCAGCGGGTGCTCCGCGACAGGGCCGAGGGCACGTTTCTATGGATATCGCTCGTGTGTAAAGAGCTAGAGGTTGTCCCCCACCATGATACACGGGAGGTACTGCAAGCGATGCCACCTGGACTGGACCCGCTATACAACCGAATGATGAAACAGATCCTAGCGCAAAAAGATGGCACAACAGCATACTGCAAAGCCGTCCTGCGGGCACTCACTTTAGCCTTTCGACCACTGCATCTGCTGGAGCTTGTAGTAGTTGCTGGCCTGCCAAACGATCTGTTTGGCAGCGCGGAGAGTATCTCCGACCTCGTCGCCCGCTGCGGCTCGTTTCTCGCAGTGCGCAACAACACGGTGACGTTCATACACTTGTCGGCCAAAGACTACTTCACGTCTGGCAACGGCCAGCAGATATTTGATGGAGCAGTGACAGCAGAGCATGGACAGGTGACATATCGTCTGCTTAGTGTGATGCGCAATACACTACGGAGAGACTTATGCGATCTAGAGATGTTAGGAGCGCGAACCGAGGGTGTGGTAGACCGGAGCAAGAAGAGCACTCTCGTACAGATTGCATATGCATGCGAGTACTGGATTGACCACCTGTGCGACTCGAATCTCATGTCTTCCGAGAACTCGGATGATGTTCTGCAGGATGGAGGTATTGTCGAGAAGTTCCTGCAAGAAAAGTATTTGTACTGGCTAGAGGCTCTGAGTCTATGCAAGAGAGTACCAGAGGGCGTAGCTGCAGTAGAAAAGCTCTGGCGTCTTGCCCAGGTATATTTACTAAGCTATAAATACGACTACTATCTGACTAATGTAAAATAGGGAAGAGAAGAACAGGGCTGGTTTAGTACCCTACTTAAAGACGCACGTCGATTTATAATGTACCATAAGGGAGCTATTGAAGATAGCCCTCTACAGGTCTATGCGTCAGCATTGTTGTTTAGTCCTAAGAAGAGCATGGTCAGGAACCTATTCAAGCACGAGGTGCCAGACAACATTACCATCAACCCTAGTATGAACGACAGCTGGAG